TGTGACTGCGTATATGTCTCCGTGTGTGCGTGTGTACATATACATACTTATATATATATACATATATATATACACACACATATATTATACATATTATTATATAAATTTCGATCGATCCTAGTGTATCGAACTGACAATATTGAAATAATTGATCGGACTTATGATTTAACCGACAATAATGTATTTGTTAAGGGCATTCGAGAACTAGCGTTACGCGTGAGTCAAAAGAATCTGCTCTTCCGTGCTGTGCATCAAAGTACACAACAAGATTTTAGTGTTAACGATCACATGCTCGATCACACGATTCACGTCCCCGTGACATAGTACGCTCCAGTGTACGTTTCGATCGACGCATTATCAACGAGTGTTATCGGGTGGATCGTTGATTTCGATCTCTTAGACAATGAAACTTTTGTGAAATTTCTAAAGGCGTTAGAAGTTTCGAGGATTTCTTTTGAAATTTTTTTTGAAATTTGCTTGATCCTCCTTTGCGGGCTACAATTATTCAAAATTTTTGCAGGGGCGAAAGAGGGTGGCAAAATTCTTATCCTGACGTATTGGAGATATTTAATTTTATTTCTTTTATGTTCGTCATTATCTCTGAACATCATATTATTACTTGTTTGGTACTGTAATTTGAAGCAAAGTAGCTAATATTAAGTAGTTGATATCGATGTTACTGAAGCAACATGAATTAATTAGAAAAGTTACCGATTCTAAAATTACTTTAAATTTTCATCGATAATTATTGAAACTTTTCACAGTACGCTGTATATATTTAAAATTCCCTGCGACAGCCTTAACGAATATTTCCGAAACATTTCTCATCGATAATGCGTTGCTACGTTGAGCCTAATATCAGTTTGGATATCTCAAAGTTGGAAGATTACGTGGAAATCAATCGTCGCGTTTGAAGAGCCAAGGGCCATTTTTCAATGATTCCACGATCATGGCAGCGCCCTGGTGTCGAATTAATAAATAAATAAATGGCGGAAGTATCGATTTGCCGCGTGAAACATTCTCTCCTCTGTGTCCATTGACGTTAAAATCTCTCAAAGGTAATCACTGATTCACAACTCTCTTATAGTGATTTCATAATTAACAAAGATGACGTAAAACGGTAATCTTAAATACTCCGTGGCGGGGCAATTTAAAGAAAATCTATTTTGACTGTTTAAAAATGGAAAAAAAAATAAATAAATAAAAATAGCGGGCCTGTTCTATTATATACACGTAGCTGCAAGTTAGAGTGAAAACAAAAAGCAAAAGAAACAAAAAAAAAACAAAAAAAAAAACGAAAAAAATAATGAGTCATTGTTACACACGCCGATATGGTCTGGTTTGTTAATAATTATTACAACAATAATTATGTAAAATATGTATGTATACTGTAATTTTGAGTGTATTATGTAATTAAAAAAAAAAAAGAAGGACAAGAAACACTGATTATTGACAATAAATTGTAAGCCGAATGTTTTCAAATACTCACAATTTTCTTTCAGATGGTTAAGTATGATAAAGTGGCTTTGTTTTTCGAAGGAAATATTCGAATGTCAGAAATGTCTGACGCTTTATATACAATTGTGATAATCACACACATGTGATTATTATTAATATACATATACAGTGGTTGCAACAAGTATTTTATTTTTCAACGAAGCATTTTTCTATCAGATTGTAATATGTGTATTTCATTATCTTCAACATCAGACTTTCGTGGTTACAGAAAAGTATTATTAAATGATACGAATTTTACTATGCTTGAACTCAATTAAATACTATATGAATGTTGCAATAGATACAACAGTGTGCAAATACATTTCGTAAAGTTTGTTTTTGGAATTACATATTATTTTGTTTAATGCTTCGAAACGTTTTAACGTGTTGCAGCTGGAAGACTAGAAGACATTCGTTTCAAAAAAGAATTTCGTATCATCGTATAAAACTTTTATTATTTTTATACTGTTAGCGTGAAGTGATTTCTTCGTGTCCAAGTTAATGAAATTTAATCGCAAGTGACGAGCAATGCCTGTAAAGTAACATCTTAACAAATTCATTCTTTTCTACAAAAAAACAAGTCTTTCGTATCTTGTTCACGAGCTCGTCCATTTTCCACTCGGCAAATCGGTATCGAAACTCTCGAAACGTCAAACAAAACGAAACCGGCGGGGACTTTCAGTCGCAACAGACATAATTAAACATCGTGGAAACTGATTGTAACAAAGCACGCGGGTACTTTCCCGGAAGCCGAGGAACATCCGCCAAAGATGCAACACCGTGGGCGGTACTCGAACCCTGCCGATCCATCGATATTTTGCCTAATAATCCACCCGAACGCAACGAGGCACATTTCGCGAGTGCAAC